CCTGCTTCCCGGATTCAGCGCTGGTCAGTTTTAGCAGCGGCTGAATCGGGGAAGCTGGGGACAGAGCAGCTCCAATGGTCCAGCTGCCCGGAGCACTTCTGGGAGCACTTCCGGGTTCTTGATGGTGCCGGACCATCAGGAGTGCCGGACCATCAGATGCCGGACCATCGGAGTTTTACAATATTATATTGTTAAAGGTGCTTTTGGAAACACTATTAGTATCAAACAAACTTTATATGAATAGCAAGTACCTGATCTCTTTCCACAACAGAGGAAAACAGTTGTAAATATTATTTGTCATAAAGAATACCTTACTATCAGAGTGGTCCTGCAAGAAAGAAAGCATTCTATGGTTATTAAGGTTACAACATTTTACCTACTATGCTTCTTATCTATATTGTCATTCTGTTTATATAAGAATCTCCTACTTCATAGCTTTTTAAAGGTAAAATTCAAGGAAATGGTGTCTTGAAGAGACTTGTTGCCATATCTGTTTGTTGCATTGCATACAACGTAGGAGGTCATGCTAAAGAATGAAAGACAAAAACTCCTTTAAATAAAAATGATTAAACCACTTTCCATTTTGTTTAATCCGTGAACTCCTATTGCAGTATTCTGTCTAGTTGGTTACATGGATTCCATCATCATAGTATTTAAGTACCTCACCAACATTATTGAATGTATCTTCAGAAAACCTCTGTGACACACCTTCCCTGTGGGAAATATTCTTTCCATTTTACTAATGGAGAACTGTGGCTTGAGACATTAAGAACAGGATTTTCTAAAAGTCAAGGTGATTTTAGAATAACAGTCTATTTTAAAGTCTAATTGAACTGGTGACTTTTATTCATTTATATGCTTTTGAAAATTCCATTCTAAGTAATCTAAGGTCACACAGAAAGTATTTGGAAGACCTGGAGTTGAATAAGACCCTCCGTTACTTTAACTACAAATTTTATTTTCCTATGCAAGCTGGGAAGCTTTGGTTTTTAAAATATATTCAATTGCTTGGAATGTGGCTTGTATAATGAACAAATTATTTTTGTGGGGAAACATCACTAATTATACAGTCATACTCAATTATGTCTAAGTAAACATTGCTAAGAATTTTAACAAAATTCTCAAGTTATTTTCTGCGTTGATAGGCTGACTGTAAAAGCAGTTTCAGTTTATGCTTATGCACTGGTTTTTCTTTATTTCCAGATTGAGGCCAAGTATAATGTTACCCAGTATGAGAATATTTTTTCTCTCTGCATGATTTTGGAACAACTTCTTCAGAGTGAGACAGAAGGTAACATTTCGAGCTTGGACTATGATGGAGAAGAAAAAAACAAATTTCTGCATAACCTTGATCAAATTATTCTCCATCTTGCAGATGATTTCCCATTGTTTTCTGTATATATATGGAGATTGGGTGCTCTTTTGAACTCATCTCAAATGCAAATTGTTTAAAACAGCCAGGCTGCTTTCAAGCTCTATATTCATTATAGTTATGGACAACTAGAGCATAAAAATGGTTACTATTGAAAGACATTTATTTTTAATGATTATACTAAACACCAGTATCTAAGATAATGTGATTGTTTTCCCATTCTTCGTGTAGAAAAGAGTGATATCTTAAATGTCACTGGTTGTTGTAACCGTAGATAAATATTGGCTTTTACTACGTAAAATATTATATACTATATTATCTACATCAATAGAATTTGAACAACAAAGCCATTTTATGTGATGTTTAGAATAAGTAAGTAAAATTAACTTTTAGATTAAGTCCAAGATTTTTTTTTGAAATTGTTCCTCCAGTTAGCCTTGTGAATCCATATTAGGCACATACATAAGTGGCAATGACTTTTAAAAGTGCTGCTCATTCAGCATTTCGTATATGCTTCCATGATAATCGGGCTATATTTAGACTCCAGTCCTCTCTCAAAAGAGGAATGCAAATGAAACAGATTGAAAATTCAAATGAAGCGCGGCTTTACAAATCTCACTCTTCATTTGCATAATCGCGTCCGAGCGCTTTTTTGTAAAAGGGTTTTTCGAAATACCCCCTGCAGTCTAGATGGGGTTCTCTCGGAAAAAAAACAACCTTTTTTTCGAAAGAACCTGTACTCCTGAAAAATGAGGTATACGCGATTATGCAAATGAAGCGCGAGATTTATGAATCTGCGCCTCATTTGAATTTTCAGTCTGCTTTATTTGCATTACTCTTTTGAGAGAGCAATGAAGTCTAGATGAGCCCTCAGTGAACACTCAGCACTTTTGATAATCAGACTACATAAGTGCCTAAAAATGGACTCTCAAGCCCAACTGTAGGTATCCATGTTTTTATTTTATTACTATGCTTAAATCTTGGCCAGGATGTTAATGTTAAATTGTGTATAGCGAAGATTTCTATTCTGTGATGGAGATACAAATATAGTCAATTTTCAGAAGCTTTGTTAGTTTCAGAAAAAATTATTTTAGTTAAGTACAGACGTACTGTACACAATACCTACTACCATTCTCCTTTCATGGGCCAGTTGTAGTTTCCAACTTAACCAAAATATTTGTTTTTTGTCGGATTTAACCACCATTTGATTTGTCTGTTGTTATCCCTCTCATTTGCACTGAACATTGCATATTTACTAACTGTACACGCATAAACATAGAGCCGATTTACTCTGAGGTAACTCGACTAAAGTGAATGAAGTTATGCTTGCATTAATTTATCTTAATTTGTAATTGCTTGAACGTAAAAATTCTAAGATAGACAGATAAAATACCCATTTAAATATTCATTCATTATGTTTAATTTTTAAATTTTCATTTCTTTATTGGGGTTAATATAAATCTTCACATATTTGAATACAAATCTTCTTAAACATTAAAGAACTTTAAAATATGGGCCCAGCAGTTGTTTCACTGATCTACAGTTTTTGATATATTTGGAGAGCAATTACTACAGTGTATTACAATGTTCCTAAGTAGGTCAAATAATATTAATGACATTATGTATTCTATTAGCACGATTCACTTATAAATTAATTATTTTAAATATTTGTATAGATTCTTCCCATCACAAAGTTTGCTTCGTATCAATTTTAATCTCTTTAATCTGTTACTAAAATTCATTGAGACACATTTTCTGTAATATTGGAAATATTTTTGTATTAAACATGAAAACGTATTCTAATGAACAAAGTGTATTTTCTGTATTGCTGATATATTGTATAGATGCAATCATAAGCATAATTTTTTTGGTAACAAAAAATTATGCAGTAAAAAGCAGGGGTCGGCTTATGAATGGGTCATTGTGTTTACCAATTTTTTTTTAATTTGATCAGAGGCAGCAAACTTCAGTTCCCAGCCCAGCAGGGCAAACCACTTTCATGCTAGGATGTTTCATGTAGCTGGAGAGTGTGCATGCACAGAGCCTCTCAGCTCCCAATGGCTGCTGTTCCCCATCCCGTGTCAACAGGAGTGATAGGAAGTGGCTGCTAGAACATCCCTTGGCCCATGTTGCTTCCTGCAGCTTCCATTGGCTGGGAACAGCAAATAGCAGCCAATGGGAGCTTAGAGATTCCCTGCCTACAGATGCTCCAGGAAAACAAAATATCCCAGTGTGCCAGCAGCTTATGCTGATGAGCTGGGACTGGAAGTTTGCAAACTGCTTATAAACGGGTCAATGTAATTTTCAAAATTTTTTAACTGGGAGAGAGAGGATCAGCTTATGAAAAAATAAGCTCATGAACGAGTATATATGGTATATTAACATTTATATTGCAACAGAACACTAGTTATATAGACAAAGCTGAGGTCACTAAAGAAATTGTCTTGTAATTTCTGTTTTATCCCTGTCTATCATTATGTTCTAGTTATTAAACTTGAGTTTTGGTTATACCATGAGCTATATTTTTTATGTTTAATATTAATTCATTTTTAAAAAGCCATTTGATGTATAAAACAGATTTAACTACTGTTCATGAATATTCACATCAGAAAATCGGATAATTCCACCCAAAGGGACAAGTTAACATGAAATTTAATAAGTATCTATTTAAGCTTATCATCCACTCATCCACTAGGTTAGTTTTTGTTGGGTTTGCATTTGTTTCTCTTTTTTCCCTCTCTTATCAGGTACAAGTGCCACTGACATATAGTATAGTGGAAAAAGAGGAGAAATAGAGATAGCAAACAAAAATCATAAAGCAAAAGGGAGCGGGTATAAACTTCTTTAAAATCTCCAGTCCTTCCATGGGCAGAAAAGAGAAAATTAATTGGATGTTGTTTTTTAACAATAGTTGATCAGTTTTCCCCAAAGTACTTTTGCTTTAGTGGAAAAAATAGAAGAGAGTTAATTGTAAAATGGCAAATTGGAAATCCCCTAATACTTCAAGCTATTATTTTTAAAAAGAATGGATTCAGCAGTTGATCAGCTACCAATTCAAGAGGCCATCTTTCACTGTTTTTTTTTTTTAAATGTCAGGAGCTGCATCTTGTCTCACAAAGGATAAAAAACAAAAGAAAGTATTTCTTCAAACAATGCATAGTCAACCTGTGGAACTGTTTGGTTAGAGGATATTGTGAAGGCCAAGATTATAACACTGTTAAAAAATAAGTACGTTCACAGAGAGTAAGTCCATCAATGGCTATTAGCCTCTCTTCTGCCAGAAGCTGGGAATGGGTAACAAGGGATGGATCACTTGATCATTACTTGTTCTGTTCATTGCCTCTGGGACACCTGGAATTGGTCACTGTCAGAAGACAGGATATTGAGTTAGATTGACCTTTGGTCTGACCCAATATGGCAGATCTTACGTTCTAAAATACGGGATACCAATTTTCTCCTGTACTGATCAAAAATGTGTCTAGCCAGTAATAGACAGATAGGAATTATGAGTGTGTCTTTGATAAACTTAGAAAATAGTTTACACTAACTTGATGTCTGAATCACCTTAGAGTTTTCCTAAAAATATCTGGGGTGGTACCTTTCTGGGCAGGGAGAGAGTTAACTCTGTCACCCAGGTTCCAAAAGAATAGAATATCAACAAGTCATTGTTATGTAACTTTCAGAGTATGGGGCATAGTTCCAATAAAAGTACCTTGTTGTGGGTTTATCTTCATGTGGGTACCTTTTAGAGAATATTAATCTTCTCAATGGAAGAGAGATTTACAGTACCTCTGGGGTCACAAATTCTATAGTGGGGAAGCAAAGTATGACAGGTATAGTATATTACAGCATCCAGAAGATGGAGAGGGGAAGAGATCCTCACAATGGATCCTGCAAAGAGTAATGCTACCTATTAAAGTTTTGTGGTGCTTATTTATGTGAAGAAGCCATCCATTCAAACACATACATGCTGCTTTCCAAATCTTTAGGATGGTATTAGAGGGCTTATCCCTTTAACCTCCCACTTTCTTGGTCTTACTCACATGAATAGAGAACAGCAGTACCAAAAGTCCAGAGATGCAAACAATTCAATGTTTATTGGGGTCAGCCTCCAGAAACCATGAATCCAGTTTCCTTTCCTTTCTTCTCCCGTTCCCTTGTGTTTTTCACACTTACTTCCTGTTTGTCCCTAATATATATAGCAGTATTTTCAGGTTTACCTTAACCAATCATTCTACTGAAATTTAACCAATCTTAGCATATTGTAATATGATTATATAACCAGTTACACCCCGCCATCTTAATTTATTTACATCCAGCAACATTAATTATACAGGAGACAGAAATAATCAAAGAACAGACAGAACCTTACAAATAAACAATAGAAATGAGGAGTGGGTCTTTGCCAGACAGAAGGCTAGACAGAAAGTTACCAACTTAAGTTTCAGTGACTGGTTTGGAATATGCCTTCCTTACTGGTTTATCTTTGCTCTTATATAGAACTTTACAGGCAGACCTGAACATACATGTCCTTGATACCATCTACATATTTTGTTAGTCTTTAAGGTGCTGCTAGATTATTCATTTTTTTAAGTATCAGAGGGTTTTTTTTTAAGTTTTTCCATTTACAGATTAACACAGGTACCTCTTCAAAACGTATGTCCTTGACAAACAGCTTTGTCTATGATGGTGTGGTCATAGTGGATGAGGATCATATTTATGTGTTTTTAAGTGCCAGCCAAAAGTGCTAGCTCAGCAAGTCAACATTTTTGTTCTTTTCTGAAGCTGCAACCAAGTCAGCCTATACCCATGCCAGTTGCTATAACAGATGCTCTCTCCATCAGAGTAAAGAAATCTTGCATCTTCCTTCACTGATTATTCCAGTGGTATACAAGATTGAGGTGATTAAAACAGTTTTCTACTGTTGCCCTGAGTAGCCACAGACGTGTTCTATCTGCTGTTGCAGCATGCCCACCCAGCCAAGAGACTAAAGATTTTATACTGGGAAGGAGCATTGATCCCTGTTTTTTAGGAAATAATCCCACACATCTGCCATGGTAAAACCTTTCCCCATCCATTAGTTAGGGGACTTCACCAGCCAGGTTACACCCACCTAGCTCATAAATCAAAATGGACTCATTCCCCAAACAGCAGTGTCTACCTGCATCCACTTCCGATTTAGAGTCTGGAGAGCATAATTATGAATAGATTGAGTGTGAATTGATGTTTTGTGGGGAATGAGAATGAATTTGAAATTGATGCATTTAACAGAAGTAGGAGTGTTGAGTTGATGTATATTTGGGAGTAGGGAAAAGTTATTTCACCCATGGACTGCAACAGGTGTCACCAACTGAGACAGACTGTTTGTTTTGTTAGGGAGCCTTTGTTACAAGCATCATTGATCTCTAGCTGTATCTTTACTATTAGCTGTGGCCTTTGGAGGGGAAGGGGCATTTCTTCTCTTTTGATAAATTTTCTTCTATTTAAAAAAAGTACGTGGGTGTCTGTGATGGGGCATAAACATCACAGTAATCAGGAACCTTAAGGGATAATTAACCCGC